GATCCACTAGTGAAAAAGTAAAGGATGAAGATTAAAGTCATTTTTTTATTATTTAGATATGGGTTTTTGCTGAAAATGTTAATATTTAAGCAATTTGAAAATCATTCAAAAATATATTTGTTAAAAATATCTCTTCAAAAATATTTAGCGTAATTATTCTTCGACTGAATAGCTCAAATGTAGTTAAATATTGACTTAAAATGCCTCTTCTGAGCTTTTTTAAATGCAAATACAGATTTTCTGGAACCATTATTCCATCATCATTTGTTCGTGCTCAGTATTCGTCATTGTTTTTTGTAAATTAAATTAAAATTAATTTCTGTGAGTTTAAAATGTAAAGCTTAATTTTCACGAATACTTTAAGAATTTCTCCTTTGTTATTTTCATACCTCTTCGATTCGTTTCAGATTTGACAGATGTTGAATGGTCTCTTCTAAATCAGGAACTCTTCGGGGCCTATTTTTAATTAAAAATGAGTCAATTTTTCGTAAACTAGCTTGTGAACAAGTACACCAAACAAAAGTATTGTTCCACTCGAACAACTGTAAAAACTACTTATGACGAATTAACACAAGGTGGCTGCACTAATATAATAAGTGTAGTGTATTAGAAGAAATTTATATAGCACTAAATAAATGTAAAAGTTTTGCATTTGATAGAATTTTTGTATTAGCAAATGTCAAATGAAGTTGACCATTTTTCAATCAAATCAATTCCATATTCTTCGATTTCAAATAACGATTTGCGATTTTTTAAATGAAATCTGTTCATATGAATTTTCATATTTTGTTTAGCTTATTTTTTTCAGTAGTCATAAAGACAATTGGCTTTCGTTGTAGATTAATCAGTAGAATGAGATAGGATTTAAAATTTATATGATTTCTACCTTATATGATTTGAGAATTTTTCAAAGTAAAGTGGACAATGCTTCTTTCTAGTGTATCTCCAGCTTGTTCAAGGTGAATAAGATTAATATCAGTCAGCAATCCCTCATTAATATGGAGAGACATATAGGTGCAATATATCAGCTTCCTGAAGTTGAGAAATCCTTAGCCAAAGGAAGGGTGAAGTCTTCAGTTGGTGAGAACCCTGGAGCATCATAAGCTTGTTTACACTTCCCTTCAATGAACTTGAAAGGTTTAAAGAAGAGGAAGCTTTCTTTACACCCGAATACTTGAAAGTTATGAAGCCATTTGTCCAAGTGCTTAACAGTAAATTCTAGACTTGAAGAGATCAAGATTTAATTAGTGAATAAAATTTCAGAGTTCAGTCGGAAACGTTAGAAGCATAGAGTTGAAATAGACTTTAGAAGGAATCGAAAACCCAATTCTAAACATGAAACAAGGGATAAACCTCTAATCCTATTTAAAAGACCCAGGAGAAGTGTGAACCGGATGATAGGCAAACCTATTTACTATTGACAAACCTTTTTTCTATTTCTGTGTTTAGTGTTTTTCTATTCCTTGGCATTGCTTGTTGTTTCTTTTCATCTCTAGAATATCCTCTGTCAGCCATTCGTTTTTTTTTGTGGGGTTCTCTAGTTTTCTTGGGGATGATTTCGTTCGTTGAGATCATTACTGTTTCTCTCAATTTTTTCTACTTTGATTTTGTAGTCTCGCTCAAGTTATATTCGTTTATACCTTTGGTTTGTATTTCTGCTTGTAACTTGGGTCATTCAGGAGTCTGTCGTATTGCATTTTAAGCGTTGCTTTCGTCTTTAGTTTCTGTTGTCTTACACTGACTGTAAAATGGTCGCTCCCGCAGTCGGAGTCTTTATAAGGGGTCTTTATAAGGGGTCTTTATAAGGGGTCTTTATATTAGTAAGATTCAAAATTATTTTAACCCCAAAAACAATAGACAAAAATATTTTTAGTAAAAAATCAGGTGAGTCACTTTTATCGAACAGTACTGTATGTTAAATGGCGTTCCTTTTAGTTTAACTATGATCTTTCTATCTCTCTCAACCGAAAAGCTTTTGTAGATGAATTATGAGATGCTTCATGTGGAACGATTATTGTAATTTCAATAGAGGCAATTCTAAGAAATAAAATTCTTCTTTTCATTATGTTCTCTCTGCTCTCCTTTACCAAAATGAAATGTAGTTGTGAAATTACACAATCCATGATAATACTGATATCCAAATATTTTCAGTTCACTTCAATATCTCTCTCTCTCTCTCTCTCTCTCTCTCTCTCTCTCTCTCTCTCTCTCTCTCTGAACTACAATGTTTATTCAAATAAATACGGGTAATTTTACGCTGCTCTTAACACAAATGATGTTTTTTTTTTTTTTTGAAAGAAAGTCATTTTATTTCAATTTATGATTCCTCGTATTTTCAACAGGATTGGGTTTCTGGTTTCTTCTAAAGTTTTCTCAATCTCTTTCACCTAATCTTAGTGGCATTATCGCCTTGTATGTGATGAAATGATTAAAAAACCACAAAAAAAAAAAAAAACAAAAGAGTGACCAGGTCAACTAATTATCAGTCTTTGTACTGATTAGGAAAGCAGAAAATAAATACTACATGCAGACAAATTAATCTTAGATAAGCTATTTTAATATATTTATCACTATCAATCGACAGTTTCAAAAAACTAATGTTGAAATATTTTGAAAAAGTATTTTAAAATTAGTTTTTGAAACTGTCAATTATTTAATGTCATTCCGTTAAATTTTACGGTATTTATTTTCGAGAAAGATGGAAAACCTTTCAACTCATGACTTTCACGTTTTATATATGTATGTTGCTATAATTGAAATTAAGTTTTTGTTCTTCACTCGTCTCTCCACTTGACTCCCAGAAACCGAGCAAAACAAATCCTGAGTGACAAAGGTTCTCTAGGTAACAGACAAAAATTATCTAAAGAGAAAAGCATTGGCTCCATTGGGTGGTCTTATTCCGATCAAAAGGGGTAACATCTCTATTAAAAGCTGATGTCTCTAGTTCAACCACACGTCCTCATCTGATCTATTAGTCAGTAGCTAACCTCTTCCAGTCCTATAAATACGGGGTGCAATGATCAAATTGTCGTCTAAATTATGCAAAAATGAAAATAACACTGATATTTCATTTTAACAGATATATTTACCAAAATTAAATAAAAATATCTTGAAATATTAAAATAAAATCGCCATTGGCTTCAACCACGGCCTCCAGAATCTCCTGCAACTCTTCTGGATGGTCTCCTTGTTTAAGTTGGTGAAGGCTGCCATAATCCTTGCTTTCAGTTCATTTTAATGTTACAAGGAATTTTGTTAGTCTCTCGACCATTTACGGTCAGCTCTACTATGGGCGCCTTTATTATGTAGAGAGCATAGCCACACATAATAATCAAGGGGGTTGCAGTCTAGGGAGTTAGGTGGCCAGATGCAAGGGGTGATGTGGTCGCATAAATTTTTTGACAGCAATGACTGGGTTCTCCTGCTTGTGTAGCATGGCGTAAAGTCCTTTCGCCAGAAATACTCTTCCAGGGCAGCACTACATCCTCAAGAGACTTGATATAGGTCTCAGTGTTGGGTTTGAGGCCCTGTGGGGAAGTTGAATGGGGGCATGACGTCACCATCACATTTGATCACTCCAAGCCTATGATGTTGAATGGATATTTGGTTTTCATCACTCTCAGTACATCTCTAACACAGCAAGCCAACGGTTGTTTTGTGTGTTCACAATCTTATCCTGGTAGAATTTTTTCTCATCTGAGAAAAACCAAAGCAAGTTCGGTTTGAGGGGATGCTTGAGCTTGTTCAAAAGCTTCGGAGCACGGACTTTCCTCTTGTCCTTTCTTGGGGGGATCGTTGTCAATCATGGTCTGGATATCACTAGCAAATTCAGGAGTTCTTTTCTTATCAGAACGATCAAAGTGAGTTTTCGGAGCTACCGTACATTCGTAATCACTTTTAGACTAACCTAACTTTTTCCGAATCCTCTGCACTGTCAGATTGACACCCAAACACTCTGGAATGTTCATATTGGAGCTTCCGGTGCGAATGCCAAGCTGTACAGCATGTCGTTTCCAAATTTCTGGCGGAGTGAATTGCGTCATGGTGTTCTTTTTCTCGTAGACGGTGCCCAATTGACCCTACTATACTGCGCCGTCGACAAAATCAAAAACAAAGAACGCACATGCGCGAAATTAAAAATATAAAATGGCGACAATTTACACATTGTACCCTGTATAAATCCAACCAGGTGGATGCCGTTTTCGCTGTGATCTATGCAGGGTTCCAGTTTGATGTTCATTTATATCTTCATCATTGGATTGACCACTTGGTGACTCGAACACTCATCGCGCATCCAAGATATGTTGAAGGACACTATCAACATCTACATTATATGCAGACTGTATGCTGGTTATGGTGATCCTCCCCCATTGAGTAGTACACCAAGAATCAGGTGGGTTTACCCACCCTTCTTCGCCTATTTGCACAGATGCTTATTCTTCATTTGCAGTGTTCATAGGTGTAGCTAGAGCGTATCGCCATTCATATTTAAACACTGCTCTTTGTGCCAATGTTTTTTCTTGACTTTGGTGAAATATTGTACCAAAAGACAGCTTGCATTTGTGAAATACGGCTCCTTTCTGTCGTGGCCTTAATTGTTTGATGACGTCTCGACAATTCTGTTGCTACTGGGCCTATATGCTACTCTGAAATAACGTCTAACTCCCTACTTGTCTAGCATTTTTCAAGGTCGCTGAACGAAATGTAGTGCTGTTCTCCATTAGCACTTCGTTTATCGGATCTCTTTCCAGAAAGATCTCTAGCACTTTTGAAATTTCAGTTGCATTTTCTGAAGTAATTTTCCGTTAGACAGCTACTCATCCAGGGCCACATTCAACCATAGCTTCTGTCGATAATGGTTTACGTCAACAGCTAACCGGTACCAATTTTTATCCTCCAATTTTTACGGTCAGCTCTACTATGGGCGCCTTTATTATGTAGAGAGCATAGCCACCATCAGCGTAGCTCCTATTTGCTTGTTTCCCTAAGGACAGTATTTTATGACCACAACAGTAGCAGGTAATATCAGACCTCTCCTTTCTACAGTCTTTCACCATATGGTGGCATCTGAAATATCGCAATTTCAAATTTCACCACTTCACTCCTCTCCCCTCCTCTTTTGCAACTTGAGGCTGTTCGCTGCTTCCCCCTCGGACAGCTGCTGTCTCTTGCATGTACCCCTTCTGTCTGGCCAATACTCTGGTACGATTTATCACTTCATCCATCTCCATAATGTGTAGATTAGGCAGCTGTTGCAGAGCTATAAAGATGTGATTTGGAAACCCATTTATAAAGGCCATTTTCACAATCTTCTCAAGGCCCCTTCCATCAAATCCTGTCATCCTCTTAATACTGTTGGCATACATATCTATCGAATTGATTGATATGTATGCACACCGCACTTCTCAGTTTGACATATACAACAAATGTGACTTCCGTGAATGCCTCCTTCCATCTTATCTATATGATATCTGTATCACACACACTTCTTCCATCATTTCAGAGTATAATTCAAAGGCGTCACCTTCAAGCTAGAGTGGTATAAGATATGCAATATCAGTGATTTCTTGAAATCGTGCCAATAGTTTGATTTTACTGAGTGAGATAATAAGATCTCACTCAGCACAGAAGTGTTTCAACATCTCAGTACTTAATTTAATCTTTCCTGGCATTCTTCGTTTCTCTTTGGGCTGAAATAGTTTGGAGTTTAAATTAAGTATTTTATTTAGTCGTCTCCGTTTAACTTTCACCAATCGAGCAACTGGCAACAACACTGAGTCGGGGTAATGTCGTATAGGATTAATCTTTAGTGACAACGTTTCTCCTGGCAATAGAATATTCATTTATCTTTTTTTATACATAGAATGTAGTACAAAGTCAAACAAACGTGAATGCCGAACATCACTGTTCTTATAGTTAACTAATCACATTCACTGACCCAATCATACATACGATTCTTTCACCTTAATACCACATTTATATAAAACACATATATGCCACAATCACCAAAACAACGCATTCTCTCCATTAATACCTAAACTGATACCTCAATTTTTACAAACATGTGGAGTGCGAGATGAAAAACATGATTTTTATTTGCATAATAAAAATAACCCAATGATTTGAATGAATATATATACAAGGAAATAAATGTTAGTATGAGAACCTCCCCACGTTTAAACGCGACAGAAAAGTAAGACTGGACGAAAAAATACAATGGGAATGTGTAGAAAAAATCAATAAAAATCAAATAAACACAAAACAAAATGTTCAAACCTCTCCGGAGATCTATGCTTCCTGTCACCTAAAAGGGGATGAGAATAAAAACGGAAAATGTGAAGGATAAAAATAAAAGAAGAAAAGTGGCCAATGGCCATCCACTCCCTAGCTAAGTTAACCAATTTTTAGAGAAAATAAAAAGGAGAAACTTCAACCAGTGAGCTCGAGATGCCAGTCAAGGTTATTACCATTCGCATGCATCAGTCATGCAACGGCTCCGGAAAAAAAAATCCTCTCCACTGTGACCTTGACCTTCAGCTGATGCTGAAAGAACGGAACCAGGCGACGGGAAGAGATAGGCAATGGCCTCATGAACTTCATTCATCCTCGTCGTCCATACCATCATTCGCATCTCGACTAGGAAGCACAGGAGCACAGTGCATCTTCCTGTCCGACAACGATCTCATGCTGCTACAAATAGAACTAGTATCCAAGACAAAGAATTGTCCATGCAGCATGTGGACCATGTAGCCTTCAATAAGCCCACACAGCGAACGGCGGATCTCCTCAGTTGAGTGCACGCTTCTCAAAGACTTGAAAGCTGTTTTAACATCTTCCTTCCAGAAGCTACAATTCTCATCATCCTGTGTACACATCTGATCAAGGAAATGCAATTACAAAATGTCTCGACGGATTTCTATGGCGACCGATGGAGACAGACTTCGTGACGCACCATATGAGATTTGTTGCCCCAGGGGAGAAGAAACAAAGCTTTCACTAGATCATCTAAGTAGGCGGATGTGAGTGGCAGAACTGAAAGATGGTAAAGGATGAGGGAGTAGATGTATGTAATGCACATCCCCGCCTCTTCTTCAAGGTTACGGCCTTCTGAAGGGGCTCGGGAGAGGACAACATTTCTACAGACTTATCGCGGTTAATTTTGACCCCTGTGACCGTCTCATACGTCCGGATTTCTCTTCCGACTTCGCCAATCTCGGCACTGCTCATTACAGGTGTTGAGACGTCATTGGCGTAGGCAGTGTACCCTGTCGATGTGGTGGCACCAGGACCGTATTCGCCCTCAACCTGAATAGGTAAAAGCTCCAGTGCAAGCACAGAGCAAAAGGGCGAGATGGGACAGCCCTGACAAATGGATCTGGTCAAGATGAAGGGCTTCGATCTTATCCCGTTCACTTGCACCTTAACATTGGGGCTCGTATACCAAAGGCGAATCCAGGAGCGAAATTACGGCTTGAAATCGACCGAAGACAAGACAGCCTCCAAGAAACGACGATCCACCCTATCAAAGTCTGATCCAAGTTGATCAGCACAGCTTCTCCGACTTTTTCCATAATCGTACACATCAAATGAATGTTATCCTGAATGAGACCATCAAGCACAACCTGCAAACGATTTGCCAGGACCTTGGCCCAAATTTTTAATTCTGCGTTAAGCATCGTTATGGACCAAAAATTACTAATCCCATCCCCTCCATGTTTACTCTTGCGTAGACGCTATAACTCCCCTGGGGAAACCCGTTATATACACAGTGGTTGAAGAGAATTTCCAAAAAGGGAACAAACATGAACGACAGCCTCAAGTATACTTCGATGCCCGGAGTCTTATTCTTCCCTGCTTTTTTCAACGCTTCCCAGATTTCCTCTGTTATGCGACCCTTGCAATCAGCCGCTTCAATCGCCTCGATGCGAAGAATGTCGGCCAAATATTTGTCGAACTGAGACCAGGCTCCCTGATAAAAAAGCTTATGACAATATTTACGAAACTCCCCGCATATGCCCTCGTCCGTCGTCAGGTCTTTCCCATCTGGCGATGTGACACATGCGATATACCGATCAGAGGCACTAATTGTTAGAATTATTATCTACAATATTTTAGCTTCAAAAGTTTGCAAGTGCAGGTTTAAATTTAGAAAACAAGAAGATAATTTGACCTAAAGCCTCAATGATAAAGATTTGGATATTGTGGTAGAAAATTCTTCAAACACCTCGGAGAACAAGAAACTGGGATACATAGATTGGAACCCTTACAATAAGCAGATCCCATTTGAAAGAGGAATAAAACTTGGAATAATGGAGACCTCCAGTTAAAAATGCTAAATGATATGAAATTGATCCGTTCTTGTATATCATCATTTGTATAAAAGCTAAAGATCGGCTGGTAGCAGATGATAACTAAATTTGAAATATTATTAGTAAATGGTTAGTGGAACAGGATTGGCTTAATACCCTGGCTTCGTCAGCCGCCAACCCGGGGAGTTTACTCTGTTATCTTCCCTGATAGACAGCTGACGTGCTTTCACACATTATATGTAGAAAATATAATACATCCAATATCTCATAACTTCCTTACAAGTGGCTAAAGAAATAATATAACTGGAAATAATATATTCAAAAGTCAAAACTCGACACTCAGTTTATTGAATGGAAATAGCAAAAATGACATTAGAAAATTTTTATCAGTTAATAAAATACTTTATTACAACCAACCAATTGACGTGAAGTCTTTCCGACAGGCAAGAACTTTTCCAGTCAGTCTCAAATTGAGGAAATATACACTTTATTTAATGGTTCATTGAAGGAAAACATCTTTAGGAATGGAATTGACAACGTGCTTGGTCGGAGCAACTATGAAGGTTAAAGTGTCCTTTGCCGATTTAGCTGAAGCTGAATGCAGATCAGGTAAAATATGTTGTACATGTAAGAGCTACTCAATAAAACAGTAAGAGTTCAAGCCATAGAGTGGACATAAAATATAACCCTAAAGGGAAAAAATAAACTGAAGAATTGAGATAGTAAAGGAAAGAGAAGTCATGGGGAAAGATTTGAAGAAACGCTAAAAATTAAAATGTTCATCCCTAAGTTAACAAGCGTAGTAGGATGAAAACATACAAAAATTACTACAGACTTAACTTACATAGTATCATACCTCTGTTCTCCATGTAAGTTGTCATGCAAAATGAAAAAACACACAAAAAAACTCAGAAAAATGTCTTTTTAATCATTTTTGTTTAGTTTTAATTTGTTGAAAAATAAACACATAACAAACAACATTTAAACATGTATAAACCACGCACTAATTCAGAGAGTGGGTTTACTTACAGTAACAGAAGAAAAGTTGTGGATTATTTAACGGCGAAACATATTTCGGGTTAGAGGAGGTCAGTGTTCTTAAACGGTCCCACATCTAAATACTGACCAGGTTCAACACTGCTTAATAGTTTTCAATACAATTTGACAGTAAACTAACAGAAGAAGAATATCGGTAGATTTTATTTTGTATGGAAAGAACTACCAAATTGTAATTCATTTTATTGATTAAGGAAAACAGGCTACGATGATATGGGCATTAAACAACTCCAGATTAAACTTGTAATAAATTAAATGAGATTTTGTTATTTCTCTTGGAAAGAGAGAAAGAATGTATATAAGCATACACACATGCATACAGTAATACATATCTATTTAATCAGTTATATTTATTTAATGATAATCAAAGCCTTTCACGAGCCCTCAAAGAAAGAAATCTGGAGGTGTCAGTTCTGAGATTCCACTTTCCGGTAAATGTTTTACATCAAGCCATTGACAAAAAAATAAACTAAGAAAATTAATAATCTTCAAGACAAATACTAATAACATGACTTCCCAGAATCCAGGCTCTATTTCTGAATTTAGAAAGCATGTAAAATTTTGTTAAATTTGTATATTTTTTTTATATCCATTTGTGTATATATTATCTCACTCCTTCCCTGTGTTTTGAATAGGAGTAAAGGTTTATCCATTCTTTTGTTTTGTTTTGGTTTTTTTTTTTGCTTAGGACTGGGTTTCCAGTTTTCTCTCCTAAAGTTTTCTAATTTTCTTTTACCCCAGGAACCTCTTGCATCTTAGTGGCATTATGGCCTTGCCTGACATGAAATGATTAAAAAAATTATGACGCGCGTTATCTTTCGTTTTTACTCTCTATCCGAGAAGAAAATATTTTTAGCAGACTTACCAAAAAAGATTTATAACAATTACTTTTATAAGTAAGAGTGAAAGAAGCTAATAATTTTCTTTAAATCGGCTAAAAGTTGGTGATCCCAAATTTTGATTTAAATTTTAGAAACCACAGAAAAGAAATATCGGTAATTCTTTTTTTAAAGGAAAGATTTCTACTGAGCTTGTTGAGACTATAATAACTATTTTATGTTTGTATAGCTTCTAAGTTCTTACTAATTGCTGGAAGGCAGAGGGCGTCTACATGGAATTTCGTTGAGTGTAAGGCAGGGGCGGAAGTTGGCTTTGTGCAGAGGAAGGGCTCTACTTCAGGTTCTTAGCATTTCTGACAAAATACGTCTTTATGACGCCACGATCTTTTTCGACTCTGCCAATAACATCTCGTGTGATCTAATTTCTTTCTTTCCTCGACCCAAGATTTTCTCTCTATTTCATCAAATACCCTTGCTATCTCTCTCAGAGCTTGATCTCTCACTCACGAAAAGCTTTCTATATCGCTCTTTTTTCCAAAGCATTTATTCGATTGTCTGTTTTCTCAGTGAAATCTTATATGAAACATCTAAATTTACTTGTATATATCTTTAACATAATTTTCCTTTGAAATTCTATTGCCCTCTCTTTCCCGCTCCTCCTCCTTCTCCTTCTCCCCCTCTCTCAAAGGCGTAATTACTCTTCACTCACTCGCTTTTGATTTCTGAAATCATTAACTCTTTCCTTACTCTTTCTATTTCTCTTAAAACTATTGATTCCTTTCTCAAATACATTCATTTCATTGTTTTCCTTTGCCAACCTCAAATGTTTTCATTTTGCTTCAGTCTACCTACATGAGGGGAGGGGCAGGTAGTGTAATGACAGGAAGTGGGAGAGAGCCGAGTCCAAATTCTGACCGAGTTCGTTATGTTCATTTTTGTTCAAATAGCTTTGGGAATGGTATGAACCTTCCTTTGGTACAAGTTAAATAACTGGACTGACTCGGATCTCTTGCTTAAAGGTGACATCTATTCTAGGAAAACTCTGAATTCAAAACCAGCGTGAAGTGAGATGGGCTTCGTCAGGCTCGCCTGCCCTAGACACACCACTTTTGCTATGTCTGAAATATATGTGGCACCTAAACGGCCTTAATGTGTTATGAGGATATGTGACGACATATACAGAAAAATAGGCACAATTTTAAATTAAGCTAATCATTGAACGACATGGATAAACTTCAAATTTTAACCAATCAGAATTCATTTCAATGAGTTTGTTTTTTCTTTTCTTTCTTTTCTTTTAATATATAATTTAACCTTTCAGTTAGCATAAAAACAGGGAGTCTGTCCCCAAATTTTTAATCTTTCTCTTCACAAAAAACCCACTGATATCTGGTCCATTAACTCATATTTAGAGTAAGCAATGATTATTTATATATTCCTTTCCGTTTCCGTTGACTTTTTGGCCAAATCCACAGTAACTCTACAGTTTCTTTCCATTATATAAGGTCGATACTAAGTTGATTGGAAAATAGTTCTGTTACTATTCTAGCCTGATCTGGCTAATCAGAGCTTATCGCTTCGTGCTGACAACTTTCAAGGATCTACTTTGCTGTGATGACGTGTATTTTGAACTGATGTTCTCAGCTCTCCAGACATATTATAAATATTTTCATCACCAGTCTTTGCAGATTCTCTTCATTTGAATTTCATTAAAACCAACTACTACATCATTGCCGTGTTGACTCTCCATTGAATTCTACCGAAAAATATAGTCAGTTTTTTGTTGTTCACACGACTCACGCAAAATCACTGTTCATTTAAATAATAGCAATAAACTTGACCGTTTTATTATCCTAAATTTCATCATCATCATCATCATCATCATCATCATCATCATCATCTTCTTCTTCTTCTTCTTCTTCTTCTTCTTCTTCTTATTATTATTATTATTATTATTTCCTTTCATTTCTGTTGTGTATACATATCTTTCCGGGTCCCAATCTCTGATGTCATATAGCCATTTCTGACCTAATGAGTCTATCGGGACCTTTTTCAAATCAATTCGAGGCTCCAACTATAACTGGAATTATTGATGTCCTCATGTGCTACATTTTTTTTAGATTTCCACTTCAAGATCCTTGTATTTTAATAGTGTATTATTATTATTATTATTATTATTATTATTATTATTATTATGTGAGAGAGAGCAGCATACCGGAAAGTGATGCTGAGTTACAAATATACGAAGCTCAATGTAACCATCCCGAAATCCAGTGTGAGAAGAGTATACGAGATACATGCAGAACAGCCAGATGTGCAAAATATGGTGACAAGTTTTGATAAAAAAGGCCATCATTTTGTAGTATTACATAAACGAGATTTTTCTTTACACCCCTCTGTTTTTCCACCTCTCTCTTTTCTACACATCTCTCTACGCCAGTATCTATAATTCTAAGTGCCATGTAAGAGTTTTTGTTCTCAGGTGTTCTTTAAATGGTTTAACTCGTGTACCATAGCATCATTTTTCATCAGTTTAGACACATTTATTGGTTGAGTAATTTTTATCTATTTCCTTCAGAAGGAACTTGAGTTCCTTTGTTTTTCTAAAAAAGTAAAAAAAAATTTCACAATTTATAAAAATTGTGAAATTTTTTTACTTTTCTCGTGACGGTTAAAATGTTATAGCATCCAATTAGATGTGTTCAATAAATATTTTTTTAAACCAATAGTTGTTATTTTGTAGATCAACTGAAGTTGGATGAAACTTTTGCCACCATATTTCTTGCAATGGTCAACGTCTGCCTTTGGATGGTGCATGTTATAGCAAGTTAGTAATTTTCTTAATTTGGAATCCATTTTCTTTATTTCAGCTACAGTCCAGGTGATAATTTGGAAGCTATAAGTAACAACCGGTACTGCTAGCAAATTTATAGCATAATCCGTTTACTAGCATTGAGTTCAGTGCAAAATATCTTTATAATACTAAAACTCTGTGAACTTTGCTTGTGTGTTTGCCATAGAGAGTGGAAGAAAGAAAGATGTAAATTTATTATCGTATAGGAAGGGGGAGAAAGTGAGTATACATGAATTGACAGTGAGACCAAAAAAAAAACCAACAAAAAACGCTCTCTCTTTCCATATCTCTCTCTCTCTCTCTCTTTCCATCTCTCTCTCTCTCTCTCTCTCTCTCTCTCTCTCTCTCTTTCAACCTTTCTCTTTCAACCTCTCCATTCTTTTCACCTCCCTCTATTTCCACCTTCCTGTGATTGCGTGGGGCTTATTTATATTTCAGCTTTCTTTAAACAAACAATATTTTAAATATTTAAAAAAAATATTTTTTGCCATATTTAAAAATATTTTCAAGTGAATATGATTTAAGAATATGATTTGTTTATACAGTAAGTATTTTTATTTCAACTTTTTTCAAACAGACATTTTTTTAAATGTTGAAAGCCACTTCAATGTTTTATAATCTGAACCTTCAGTGACTCAACGGGTATAAAACTATAATGCTCAAGTAATACTAAAAGTCTGTGAATCGGGTGTACATCGGCCGTCGGGCGCATAATGATTTGTTTCTCTCTTTCACCTCTCTCTTTCCACCTCTGTCTTTTCACCTCTCTCTTTCCACCTTTCTCTTTCCACCTCTCCCTCTTTCCACCTCTCTCTCTCTTCCCCCCCTCTCTGTGATTGCGGGCATGTTTGTTTATATTTCAGCTTTCTTTCCACCTCTCTCTCTCTCTCTTTCCACCTCTTTCTATCTTTCTCTTTCCACATTTCTGTTTTCCACCCTCTCTTTCCACCTCTCTCTTTCCACACCTCTCTCTTTTCACCTCTTTCTTTCCACCTGTCTCTTTCTACTTCTCTGTCTCTGTTGTTTATACAGTAAGTAAGTATTTTTATTTCAACTTTTTTCAAACACATTTTTTTTAATATTGAAATCAATTCCAATGTTTTATAAAATGAATCGTCAATGACCCAACGGTAGTCTAGTTTCTTTTATTCTTCTCTAAACTCCTTTCTAACTGTTTCTTATGCGTTTGCATCTTGGATTCCCAGATATTTGTAGATCTCGTCCTAATCTAATTTTCGGCCAACTATATAAAATGATTATACCCCTTTATTTTATTAAGAAGTTAAGATTGTTTAGTAGTTTGCTTTTATCAGCCGTGTCTGTGGACCATGAGGATTGGAAAATAAGCATTTTCGTTGATGTCATGTAACAAAAGATACACTGCTTTCAGCAGTTTGAAGATGTCAGATGATATGGAAATTTCTAACTAGGAATTGTTCCTTAAGTCAATTTAGTTGAACATTAACATTGCTTTTTTACAATAAAATCATGGCTAAAATTTCTGATGAAGTAAAGATGAAGGTTGTGAACTTGAAGTGGAAGGTGATTCAACGAGAGATAGCCAGGCGACTAAGAATTTCTAGAAACAGTGTTCAAACCACCCAAAAGACGTTTGTTACTATTGTAAGTGTTCTAAGTGCAAAGAAAACCGGAAGACCACAAACGTTTAACAATATAGCTGAAAAAGATATTCCAAGAGTGTTGAAAGACAATCCTAAATTGACAGCCAGACAAGTGAGGAGAGAAAGCAGTCTTAACAGTAGGGTTTCAGTTGATACATGACACAGAGTATTACGAAAAAGCAAAACGAGCAAATAGTAACAAAAATAAAATCATGATTAACCAAAACACATCGGAAGAGCAGATTGTATTGGAAAAAAAAATCTAGATGCTGAAAATTGGTAAAAAGTAACTTTTAGTGATGAATTGATGCAAGAAACAATTTTATATCTATATATCCTGTATTATCAAGTTCAATAAGAAAAAAAAGAATAAGACCAAGACAAAAAAAAGTAAGAAAGTTTTTTTTTCAGTTCTAAATATGCCACATTTACATATTATACTTTAAAATATATTATTACTGCTATTCTTATTATTTGTAATCGCACTGTCATTTAAGTCATAGTTATTTATGCGTATCGTCATACAAATGAGATGCGGCATATGACATTGTGATTTGAGACCATCTACGGAAACGTTAGAAAAATGATGCATCAAGTTGATCTTGGTTCTTTGATGATTCCGTAGTTATTTAGCATTTGAATGTAATATTAATTAACCTCTTTGCAAAAATATAAATCGCATATTTCTATTCTCTGTTAATACATGTTAATACCTCAAATCTGTTGTCCTTTTTTCAAATTACTGAACAAACGACAACAGTAGCTGATATAAATACTTCCGGATACAGTAAAATGGTTTGAATGCCCTTTTTTTCAAAATGCAAGAATGGGTCAACAATTATCTTTTATGAATAAGACGAATTAAAGCGGGAAAAACATAAAAAGAAATATAACAATACCTTTTGTTCGGAACTTGTGTACCTTAAGATAATTCAAAACAAATACTAAACTCACGCAGTTTCAAATAAACAGGGAGTGCTGAAAAATTGTTGTTTGAAAATATTTCGAAAAATATTACCAAATAACGAAAGATCAGAATTTTGTAGGAAAGGCTTCTTAATTAGTGATACCTAACTGCAGATTTTATTGAGATTTGCATCTAGCTATCTGCCAACAAAAGGCAGACTATTTTAATTTTTTTTTCAAAAACTATCATGTCGGGAGAGATAGATGGGAATTTTGCCTGTTAAATTCATATCCCTGTTAATAATATGTTAGTTAATGATAAACGTTTTTCGATCAAACGGTATATATAATGGAATTGGAGAATTAGATGACACATAAACGTCATTCGTTTCATTTTTTCTTGTTTAGAGAGAGAGAGAGAGAGAGAAAGAGAGGGAGAGAGTTGACCTGTTTATCAGTTTCAGTGTTTAGTACATTTATGCAAAGGACTGAAAATTAAAGTTGAGCAATTGTAAGTGGTGTGATACTTTGATATACACAGGAACCATTAAAAAGCTAATATGGGATAATCGGTGTATGACGAAGCAATAAAAGCGAAATAAATCATCAAAGAAGGGTTAAATGAAAAGAACGATTTAATCAAGATTGTCGTCTTGATGTCTCTTATTCATGTACTTAGCATAAAGTCCTAACATGTTTCATTATTTCTTCAATTCCTTATCTAAAAGAAAGCATTTAGGGGTTTCATTAAAGACAGAGAGAGAGAGCGGGGAGAGAGAGAAAGAAAGAGAAATGTATCTGTATGTCACCGTGTACATAAAAAAAATAAGGAAAAAATTAACAGTATCCCGACTAAACATCACCCGTGATTTTGATATCCTTCCCCAACAAGAAAGCTTTACAACTGACATATTTTGGTGACAGAAACTGGAAGCGAAAAATATATTTTATGTTAAGTTTTTAAAGTTGTCACTTCCTGTCTGGGTTCTAAATATAAACTGGTGTAAGCAAAATGTACAACCTCCTCACACTTCGTTCTGGGTCCGTAAGCGTCATCGAACTCTTTTTATTTATTATTGGATTGATTATATTTTGATAACAATTATATTTGTTCTTATTTTACATCTTTTTATTTTGTACTAGCAATAGAGCCCGGCGTTGCCCGGGGATATAACAGCAAGAGATAGATCAAGTATCGACCATCATAAAGACTGAAATAAGGTTGACGGACACGCATGTCTTAATTATTTGTTTACAATCGTTATGAGTCTATCGATTGATGAATAGAATTTTATTATAAACAATTGTCTTGTAAATGGAATTTTTAAAGCATTCTGAATGTATAAATAAAGAAAAAAAGTGTGCAAGACAATAAAAAACACTACCTGCCAAAAAAGAAAGTGGATGTTTGTTTTATCGGTTGAAAAATGTAAGAAATCCGATCCCATATATAAAGGAACACACACACACACACACAAACAACCTGGGTTTTTTTTAACCCGATCTGAGTTATCCCCCTTTCATTCTCACGATATGTCTTAATCGTGTTTTCAAATTGATTTTGTTAAAAAACAATTGTGTTTTTCCCATTTTCGGCGTCGTTAGAACCACCACAAGGTAATTTTATGTAGTCCTGTGAAGTTTTGTTGAAATCGGCTAAAAAATGTAGGAAATCCGATCCAATATATAAACGTTACACACACACACACACACACACACACACACACACACACACACACACACACACACACACAATCTGCGTTTTATAATAAGTAAGGTTAGCAACAATTCACATTAAGATTTTTCTGTTATATTTCCTGTCCTTTTTAATCGAACTTTGTCATTTTAAAATAAAATAATAAAGTATTATTTCACAATTTTGTGTACAATTAGAATGGAACATTGTATTTTTTTGTTTTCAAAATACCCTTGTACATAAAAATTAAAGCTGAAACTTCATGTCTAGTGATAATTGTGATAATAGTGAAACAGGTTGTGCAACGGTCAACGATTATGTCGTTGTGATAACACACACACAAACTCACACACACGCTCCGAAGTGAGAGACACTTTAAGGGCAGAGAAGGGCTTCTCCACGAATACTTTGTTTTTAAAAACAAACAAACAAAAAAACACTATCTATGTGTTAAATGGTCAAATTCACATCAGCATGGTTTGTATTTCGTTAGTCATGTCATTTTACGATGTATAAACGTATGTTTAGTAACGAGTACTTAGTTGGTCACTTCATGTTAGTAATTACCGAATAGTAGAGAAGTCATATCAACCATCAGCTTCACAAGAATGAATTCATTACATCGCTGTATATCCATAAATAACAGGTTTGCAAGCTTGTCGGATTTCGCCTTACTGAGAATCAAAATAAATGACAGCATGATTATGACAAATAACAGCGGAGATCATCAGGAAGGAGATTATTTTCAGCAAAGTATGTTGAAATCATATTGCACCACAGGGACAGCCAAAGTGTTTACGGCTGATATTCTGTTTTGTGAATTCTACTCGGTATTTAAAACCAGACGCAGCACACGCCTGTAGTATAGTGATTATCCAAGCGTAGTTTAGATGTGGTACAAGACCGAAAGTAGGTGGCACCCAGTAAGGATCGAACTCACTACTCAGTCGTAATTGTTCTAGCAAGACAAGCTTGCTAACCATTACACCGCCTCGAGGTGCTCACACGCCTGTAGTATTCTTACTTTCATTTGGGTCTGCTGTATTCCATCTCCCTTGCTGCCTCCTAAGTATTTATAGGCTTCTTCTTGTTCTACTTCCCTAATTTTTGTGACAAAATCTAAATCTATTGAGTGTATTTCTGTAATTCCCCCTTTCTTGAATTTTATTTTTGAACATTTATCTTATCCAGGATCGATATCGATGCCATCACGGAAACATTTTACAGTATTGAGGATTTCCTTCAACTCATTATCGTCATTGATAGGTGATTAAACACTTTCTTTTTTACTTTGTATCCATAGTTCATGCGAAAGGGGGATTATGGACAGATAGAACAAAAGGGGCAACAGGGAGTCTCCTTGAAAGATTCTTCGTCGGGTATTCAAACATTTGGAAGTGGCAGTATCTTTGATGTGATTTAGGTACAATGTGGTTTTCTACAGAAATTTACTATTTCTACAGAATTTTACTATAATCGAGGAGACTTTGTATATTTTCAAAGCCTTAAGGACCCAAGATGATGTTGGTACACTATCAAAGTCTTTAGAGTAATCTATTCAAGAAATGTTGAAATTTCTACCATTTTCCTGTAAGATCATTTTATTTATTAGTAATTGATCTTTGAAACTATATGAACCTCTTCGAAATTCCTTCTGTTCCGGGGGAAGAATGTTGTTTTCATCGAAAAAAGAGTAAGTACAGTTCGTCAGGACACACGTATATCTATTTATATGTGGTGGACAAACATGTTATTGGTCTATAATCCATTGGATCATCTGTTTAACGTGTTTTTGATCGGAGATATGTAATACCT